GGAAAATCTGACTGGGGCAGCTTCTGAACACAGGCTTGGCCTGCTCACACTCACACTCGGCGGGCTGAGCGACTGCCTCCTGGGCGCGCTCCGGGACTCTGGGCGATTTTCATCAGCCGCTTTCGGAAGCCGGGGAGAGAGGTAGGACACTGTGAAGTCCTTGCATTTTCATGCTGCGCTTTCTCAGCCTGCTGTCGGTTTGCAAGATCGCTGAGTTTTCGGGCTCTGTGTGTGTGTGTGTGTGTACGTGTACAAGTTAAAACTCCATCCCTTCAACATCTGGTGTGGAGTGAGAATCGTTTTTCTCCCCCCCCCCCCCCCCCCAAACCCAAGCCTTCTTCAAGATCCAATTTTCAGCAGGGCAGAGACACTTTGGAAAGTTAGGATTTTGCTACCAATACCAATGTGAGAGAGAGAAGTAGCTGAATTCTCAAACGGTCACCCCCCTCCAACCTTCTGTAACTTATCTGCATGGAAGGACACTTCATTGGCAGGACAGATAATTATGGATGAAACTGTGTTCTTTGCTTCGTAGGAGTTTTTGAGAGGGGCTTTTTTTTTTTTTTTTTTAAAGCAGAAAATAGCTTTCATTTTAGGAAGGAATCAGGGTTTGAAGTTTCTATTTTGGATTACACTTTCAGAGTGTGGGAGAAGATACATGTGCGTGAATTCTTGGTATCTTTTATTATTATTATATGGGATTTGGGCTGTCATTAAGGAGCCCAGTGACATGTTTGCCTAGAAATATGCTGGATCAACATTTGTGATTCTTTTTCTGTAATAATTTCCAACTTTTCTGAGTTAAGAAGTAACTGGCAGTTTTACTCTGAGAAAATACAGCCTCAGAGTAACAGAAAATAGTAGTTTATTCAGAATCATTGTTAATATAAAATGGTGTGAATTTTAGTTCATTAATTAATTGATTTTAAGAGTACTTTAGAAAAAACCCAAAATTTTAGAATAATCCTTTCTCATGCATATCAGCTACTATGCAATATAGGTTTTTACCATTATCCCCCCACCCCTGCCCCTGGAAAGCTCTGCCTTATTCAATGTTTAGGATCTAGCGATTAAGAAACTGGTTCAGCTGAGAAAGGGCTAGACTGAACCTCACCACAGCTCTCTGATTACTGGCAGAGCCAATCAGTGACAGCTCTGCTGCTCTCCAAAGGGGGCTTGGCCAAGAGTCTGTTTGGGGAAGTAGATGAATGAATGGATTCAGGTGCCTGTTTACTTCGGTTTTCAAATCTCTCCGCAAGTAGCTAATAGTAAAGATTAATGGGTGAACGAAGACGCAGGGGCTGGAATTCTCCAGGTCCTTTTCTGTGTAAAACGTCTGAGCAGGCAAACCTCGTGTCCCTTTGGTGGAAAGTCCACACCCAGAGCCAACCATTTCATTTTCTCTACAGTTTTGCACTTGGAGGAGGGAACTCGGGAGTGATGGACAGCAGGGCTTCCTACTATAAGACATGGCACACAAATATTTTCTTCTTCAGCCTCCTCTTTGGGTTGGATTGGGTTGGGTGGAGCGGGTTTGGCACTTGCGGGAGTGCGGTGGGATGCCGGCATAGACAGGGACTACATTTGTGTTTTTCTTAAGTGTCTACTGGGTGAGCAGAATGCCAAGACAGATTAGGAACTGACATGAACCGGAGCCAAGCCCACTGCCAGGGAGAAAGGAGACTCAAGTGAGCTCTAATGTCATACTCCGTCTAAATTTAGTTTGCGTCAAGCGCTGAGCAGAGCAGGCGTGAAATGGCAGCTCTGGTTGCAGGATTATGAACGGCAGTGCCTAAAACTTGGAAGAAACTTTATAGTTTCCCTTTTTTCGAAGTAGGGGAGGGGCAAGTCAGACTCCCTTGACATTCGAAAGGAGAAAGAAGGGTGTGGGAGGGTAAAGGAGAAGAAATCCAGGGCAGAGGTGTGGGCAACAGGGGAGAGGAGTGGCCACACCACGCACTGGGCAGCCGGGGCAGAGGGAGGACGTGGTGCCTAGGAATGGAACACGCCTACTAGAAACAGCGCGAGCCAGCGGGCACGGATCCATTCAGCTTGAAGTGTGTGGATAAACTGTGGCCTCACTGAAGAGAGTTTTACCCTCCACACAAGGAGAGGCCCCATGGTCAGTCTGCCCCGCTGTGCCTTCTGGAAGCAATCAGAGAGCACATTTTGTAAGAACTGCAACGCCCGAGGGTTCAGATTTCCTAAGCAAGGAGGAAGCAGGCTCTTCGGGCTTTATTTTTAACTGTAATTTCTTCCATCCAGAGATATTCCCCGTGGGGGTGTTGAGTGAGTGGACCAGGTGGAGATGGGTGAGTGATTTCCGTGAGCAGTTTGTTCTAGGGCCTGCCCACGGATGCTTCAGCAGACTTTTTCAAAATAATATAACATGGTACATCTGCTTTGTTTTAATGAATGAATGTACTTAAATTATTATTTTTAAAAATTTTGGTTTAAAAAAGGATCTCTCCAAGGTCATGTACCCCATTTTTGGTGAAAGGGTTTAATACTAGTTTCATAGGTTAGGAGGTCCATAGAAGCGTGGATTTGACCATTGAGAAGGGATTTGGGCCATCCTGTAGTTCAGAATTTGAGTACGAGTAATTGGAGACCCCTTTTATAATGGGGAGGATTGATGGATGCCCCCATTGTTGACTTAATTACTGCACTGTACTGTCATTGAAATATGTGCAGACCAGAAATACCTACCTAGATGTTACCCCTCTCTCTCAGTCATTCTTGAACAGATAGAGCACTAAAATAAATTTTTGAATTAAATATAGAGAAACTCATCTAATAATATTCAGATTATCAGCAATCATTTTTTTACATAGAAGATGTACTACTAGAATTTAATAAGGACTATACCGTGAACGTGGGACTAACAGTGAGTGACCTTGGAGATCACTTTGATTTCAGCCCTCTTACATTCTTGCATCCTAGTCAGATATTTGATTCTTCCATGGTTCTTTTCTCTTCACATCCACCTTCACTATGTCCTTTTATTTGCACCTTGAAGGAATGTGCTATTTTGTATTATATCACACTCTGCTCCTTTCTCTCTTCGTGATGAGAATGGAATCACTTGTTGCCTGTGTGATCCTACAGTTAATACAAACACAGATACCAGAGTTGTATAGGAGTAGCCATTGGTTGGGAATGGGATCTGTATTTTCCAGGACAAAATTCATGCAAATAAGCACATCAAAAAAGAAACCCAAGAACATATTTGATGTAGAACTCTCTGATCTCAGGGAAGATTTGCGGATCCCTCAGGGGGCTCCACAGAAAGAGATGCTGATCCTGGTTGGTTCTGGTTCTGTGGAAGGACCTCTGCAGGAATCTGGGGAAGAATGGCTGTGGAAACACCCTGTCTGCATTTCTAGAATTTCTAAGGTAGCCCAGCCACTTCTACATTTTTTGTATATTGGAGGTTTGCAAGAGATTTCATCTGAAAAGAGAGTTTTAGTGCAATGTAGGTGAAACTTGAGTTTGGTTGCAAGTAATAGAAATCTGCTCACAGAAGTCTGAATGCATAAGTCCTTGCTTTAGGCATGTAAAGGTGTGGACCATGCCTAGACAGAGCCATTGTGGCTTCTGAACAGTGTTCCCAGGGACTAAAGCTGCCTTTCTGCTTCACTATTCTTGGCTCTTCAGCTGAACTTCCCTTGCTCATGTCATGTATCATGTTCAAGTCAGGGAAAAGGTGGCAGGGCATAAGGGGAAAAATACCTCTCCTCGTGAGACTTGGCCCCTTTAATCAGGAAGGGTTCTTCTCCCATATAAAATTCCCCTCTCATCACAGAATACACACCTAGAACTGAATCATGTACCTACTGGCCCCATGCAGTGATATTACTGTAATGGATTAAAACCAACCACATATCACTGTCTGGGTATGGAGTAGGAACCCACAAATCTAGATCACCAGTGAAGACCAGGGAGGAGGTTGGTAGGATAGTCATTGACAGTTTTGGCCACAAATGCTTAAAAAAAAAAAAAAAGAATAAATAAATACATTTGAAAACCACTGTTCTCATAATCCATTTCTTCCACTTCAAAGATGTGAACACTGACATCAGGAAAGTTGGACACTGAGATCAAAAGATTGTGTGAGGGACACAGGCCGTCTGAGACCATAGGCAATATTTGTTCCTTGATTGTAAATCTGGTGCAGACTACATGTTCTATTCATTGGATCAGTAAAGGCCACTTAGTGATACTTCGGAAGCCTCCTGACAATAAAAGGGAAAGCGATACTGTAATGAAATCTTAGTATTAGAAGTTTCCTCAGAAATCAACAGCTTCATGGTTTCTCAAAACCTCCGGATTCAGAGTTTCAGAGATTAGAACTGGGGAGTCTCAATATTTTTAAAAGCTCTCCAAGTGATTTTTTGGGAGACCAGCTAGACACTGGTGTGCAGAACTAAGTTTTTGACCTCCACCACGGCTAAATCATTATCCAGTGCAGGGATGCCATGTATGGCCTTGAGGTACCAGCTCGAGGTGATGGCCGTGTCTCTTATCACAGAGAACCTCACTACACTGTGAAGCAGCTGGGGTCTTGTTTCTCACCTCAGGTCTCCTCAGACTGGGCCAAATTGGGTGTCTTTCCTTTGTAACCTGTGGCCATTGTCATGGGCTCTGGAGCCACATTTGAAATTGGTGGTGGTACTTGGTACAGAAATGAGGCAAAGAAATGGAATCGAGGTAGAGGTAGTCAGAATTCTTGGGATAGATCCTGACTTCACTCATCACTGGAGCTCAGTGTTCCCACGTGTAAAATGGGATCAGATGCCTCTAGAACCTTGCTCGCTCGACAGCTGGGCTCTGCTAGAGTTCGGGTGTGGCGGGGGTTGGGGGGGAAGAGCTTATCTGCAGAACCAAAGGAGAACAGCTGTGTTCCACAAGTATGGAAGCATTTTGGACTGCGTTGGTGGGGGTAGGTTTCACACAGAAGGGGAAGAGGGGGGAAAAGGCTACGTCCCCTGCCCAGGGCATTAGGCCACCTTGCAGAGTGCCACTGCAGAAAAGTGGACCTCCCCTTGCTCACACTCCATGAATTCTCTGCAGACCTTGGCGGCATCCTGCAGCAAGGAGTCCTCTGAACTGGTGCCGTGGTTTACCAGGAAAGGCATTCGTCCATCAAGTTCATAGGGATGGCCATCCACGTTGTTAAATAGAATTAAATGAAAATTCACTTTGTCGTCTACCCAACATTGGCCTTCCTGTGCCACAGCATCAAGGGCTGCCTGAATGGCCTCGTTCTTTTCAAAGCATTTTGCTCGGTCTTCAGGGGACAGCTTCTCTGTTTCCGAAAGAAACTGTTTTAGGACGGACCTATCCTCAAACTCCAGTTTGTCTTGGTTATTGGCTATGGCATGGATGAGCCTATGATTTTTGTAATTCTAAAGCTCTCCCACTTCCTTATAAATGTCTTCGTCTTCCTTTCCCGAGGCTGAGCATCTTGAATTATTTCATCTGTCCCTCATCTTTTCCTCTGCTCTTTTCTTTGTCCTTCTTGAACAGATTCCAGTTAACTTCCACCAGACAAAAATATGACTCCCTGGACTCTGTTCCAGTCAGCCACCAAGTCCATATTCCATGAATAGAGAACACCAAACGTGTATTAACCAAGGAGGAAGAGAGTGATTTTATGGGAAAAGCAGTGCAGTAAGAAAGAAGAAAGGAAGATGGACTGATATTATAGCAGAAGGAGATAAATACACACACACACACACACACACACACACACTTAATACTAACAGAGCATGAGAGAAACCAGCATAAGAATGAAACAGGCAAATCAAGATGAGAAGTATGGGTACCATCAGCAGAGGAGAGCGATGTTTTATACTGATTTATCCAAGTTAGTTTTCCCGTGTTGCCCAAATTTCTCAACAGATTCCACTGTCCTCTTTCTTTCGCCTTTGCTGCCACACAGAAAGGTGAGCATCTTCATTATCGTTCCAAATTCCTGTTGCCAAGTGTGAAGCACCTTATATAGAGGAAGTCATGTCATCTGTCGCCCCTGGCCTGCTGTCGGAGAGGTTTGCTGGACTCCAGGAGGAGCGTGTCACCACTGTTCACTAAGTGTATAAATCCTGTGAGATTGGTCTGCTCAGAAATCTTTGCTGGTGGTAGCTCCAGGTATGTGGGTGGGTGTGGAAGCTGTGGCTTTATTCTTCCTCTTAACTGATAATGCAGTGGCACCTATTAACACAAGAACAGTTTCCTGATAAAAACTATATTGCCGGGAATTAGAAACTCCCTCCTTGTTCAGACCCTTTTCTTTTGCCAAGTGATAGGATCAGACTCTCGTGAGGACCCTGACTTCCCAGTAGTCTGTTTCTCAACTCCTGGAAAGCCTACACTTTGCTCCTGGCTAGAGTGGAAGTCTTAAGCCCCTGAAATTGTTCTTGAGCTCAGAGTGAGCAAACACCAATTTTTAGCTTGTTTGCCCAAATGAAAGTTGGACACCACCCCATTGTCCTAACTCTGTGTAGGGTTGTGGTGCGGGGCATGGCATGTTCAGTGAGAGGAGGTTGCTTAAAGCCGAGGAACAACTGAGAAGCAATGCCACACTGTGTTCCTTTCTTCCTGTTCTCACCTGGGGTTGTCGGCCATCATGTCATTTGTCTGGACTCTTTCTAGCTCCTTCTCTCTCTCTTTTTAAAAAATTTCATTCTATCTTCCTGTTGCCAGTTTTCCTCTCTATTGAGAATGTTTCTTCTCTGTTCTTTGTTGGTTCGGACCCAAGTCATCTGCTTCCCTCAGTGGTCAAGAATGTTGGGAACAGGGTCTGCTCGTAACTTGGACCTTGTAATGACAGACATGAACTCCGAAAGTTGGACATGACCTTCAGAGATTCGTGCCATCACTTCTGTTGTGGGCAAAGAGGATGCACAGAGCAGGTCACAAACTGGAAGTCTGAACCTCTAGGCACTATTTGGGGTCACAAAGGTTTTTTTTTTTAAGATTAATTACAAAAAAAATTCTGAGATATTATGTACAAATATAGATAATCTAGAAGGAGCTGAAGAAGGGTATCCGTGGTCTGGTGTCCCACAGCTTGACACTTAGTACAATCGGAGCAGTTCCTGTTTCTTTGAGAGGGTATGTGTCCACTCGATTTACTTACCACATCTTCTGATCTGTAGGTGTTTATAGTAATAGTCTCTCAATAAGGTTTCCTGTCTGAACCACAGAAGGCAGAAAGTGATTTGAATGACCCTTAATTTTTTTTTCAATTCTTTGAAGGGTGATGCATAAAGTACCATTCTAGATATGTAGACAAGAAAGCAAGGCATTTTGACCTTATTCTCTTAGAGGGGACTGTTGAAATGGGTAGATATCTGTTCAGCAAAATGCAGTAGGACAGCGTGCCTGGAGCACAGGATTTGAAGTCAAGTATACTTTGGAGCAATCACATCATAGACTTGTACATGGGATTTCAAATTTTACATGTGACAGAAATCAGAATAGTCACTGCTTCCGGGGATGGGGTTAATTAGGAAAGGGCATGACAGAACTTTCTAGGGTTATAGAAACAGTGCCTACCTTGGTCGACTATTATTTACACAGATGTACAGATTTGTGAAACTTGACCTGAGTGGTTAATACCTGTGTATTTCACTGGAACTCAGTTATAGCTCAGTAGACCTGTGTGTGTGTGTGTGTGTGTGTGTGTGTGTGTGTGTGTACATGGATGAAGGCATGCAAGGCACTTAGCCAAATACATAATAGCTTCACTATTATTGTTAGCATGTTTGTTTCTGGACACCTTGATTTAAAGAAAAATAATAACATGGCTAAAAATGAGATGAACAGCATTTCCTTTCAGACCACAGATGTCTTTGCAAATATTCAAGAGCACAGCTAAAGATCCTTACCAAACACAATTGTCAAGGAAGAATCTACTGGATCAATGCTAATTTTATGCAACTATCAAATCACTATAAAAGGATTTGCCTCATTTGTTGTAGCTGTTTTTCATGATGCTGTGAAAGTTTGTGGGTTTCAGAGAATTCGGAGAGATGGCTTATTACCTGGGAAAACCGCCTGTACTTAGGGAATTCGTACCCTGCCTGAAATACAGTAGTTGCTGTAGTATTTGTAGAATTGATGAATTGCCTTTTTTTTTTTTAATGAATTTTGTTAAAATGAATATCCATGTTGAGAAAATCAAGCTCAGACTGTTACCAAGAACATGTTTTGAATGAGTCCTCATCCTTTTCTGACCAAGTATACACATGGGTGTGGAAGCCTTTAACACAAGAAGTAAGAGACTTGTATTTCAGCCAGACACTCCAGGTTTGAAGTCTTGCTGTCTTTAACACGCTGAGTGAGTCTGAGTTTGTGATTTAACCTCTCTGTTTCTCAGTTGCCTCAATTGTAAAATGGGGATAATAATAGTATCTACCTCAGAATGATAAGACTGTGAGGATTAAGGAAGTTCAGTAAAGTATGTCAAACAGTGTCTGGCACATGGTAGCTGTTACACAAAGGTTGGTCATCAGTGTAGCGTCCTTTCTTTATGCTGGCAAACCAATGGCTGTGTTGTGATTTGCCTCTGGTTGTTGTTCAAAAGGTGTGTGCCTGGTGGTTGATGAAGATGACGTCAAACAGTTGAAAAGCCTGAAGCCTGGAATTTGTGGGGAACATGTGGTTATGTCTTAGGCCAGCCTTGGCCCTGTTCCTGACTTACCCTATGATTTTCCTGAATCTGGTTTTGTCATCTGTTAAATAATGATTTGGGTTTCCTATTGCCTGTGTTCCCTTCATGCTTGGGTCTCATTGTCTGGTCTTAAGTGTTTGAGTCCTGGTCATTATTATTTTATTATATAGCTTGATCCCCAAGGCACAGAAGAGCTAGAGTGGCTCGACTGGGATTGTCATTATCTGCTTCTGGTCAGAGTCATCACAGGCATTGGAGGGTTGGTCTTGTACAATACAGCTGGTTTGCTGTAAAAGGATTGTGACTCCTGTTAAGAAAGCTGTCCATCGGGGAGGCCATGGTGGAGGGACGTAGCTTCGTTTGCATGTGCAAATGACATCATTAAAATTGCAGTCAGGTGTTTGAAATTATTTGTTCTCTTTAAGAGTGTTCAGTTCCACATTCCCTTCTAGTCCTCAACCTGCCACATCAAGAACTACACTGGGTGTGGTACAAAAACAATGAATACTGTTATGCTGAAAATAAAAATAAAATAAAATAAAATAAAATAAAAAAAGAACTACATTGAGGGGCACCTTGGTGGCTCAGTGGGTTAAGCCTCTGCCTTCGGCTCAGGTCATGATCCCAGGGTCCTGGGATCAAGCCCCACATTAGGGCTCTCTGCTCTGCAGGGAGCCTGCTTCCTCCTCTCTCTCTCTCTGCCTGCCTCTCTGCCTATCTGTGATCTCTGTCTGTCAAATAAATAAATAAAATCTTAAAAAAAAAAAAAGAACTACATTGAGCCAAACTTCAGGGAACCCCAAGGTTCCTTCAAGTCCGCTCTGACACTACCTTCTCCATGAGGTTAACATTTCCCAGGCTTTTAAAAATTGAACTTGCTCTGTTCCCCACTCCATCCCTGGACAGCTGATCCCACTTTTCCTGTCTTTTTTTTGCAGGGGGGGGGGGTCCTTTATCCATCGTATTCATCCCCGGTAATCTAAGTATATAATATACTTTGGCTTTCATGTTTATCTGTCTCTCCCATAGCTGCCTCCTACCACTGCTGTGAGATGAGGCATCTGTGTTTGAGGTCATTGATGTATTCCAATTGCCCAGAACAGTCCCATGGGAGTGGCTGAAGGAAAACACAGATTTTTCCAGTGGTGCCATCACTTACACCATTTTCAGTGCACGCCACGCTAAGTACACATAGATGGTAATTCTAAACTCTTTGGGTTATGTTCAGGGAAAGGAAGGTCTTTGCCACATTTCATGCTCAATGGAAAGAAAACTGGACCTCAGTTTGAGTCAAGACCTTAACCAACTTATTAATTAGAGCTATCCTTGAGGACTTTCCTTTACTCTTCAGTACCTTAGGATCTTAATTTATGACATAGCTTTAATCATATTCATCTCCCAGAGTGTTGTCAGAAATGTATGAGCTCATACATCTAATGATGCCTGGTACAAATATGTGTGTGTGTTTCAAAAATATATTTCCATCTACATCTATCTCAGCAGATACTTCAGACTTCTAAATATCAGGGACAGTGAGAATGGTCGTAATTATACTGAAATATCTTCCAGTTCACCAGAAATAAATATTTTGAATTTAAATATAAGGCATATCATACTTTGGAGGAGAACTCTGTTAGTATGTATAAGAAACAGTACCCCTCTCCCCCTCCACATCATAACCTGACTAAGCAATTTGATTTCTCAGGACCTCTCTGAGAGGAGTATTGGGACATATAGGAAACATGTATGCACCATTCCTGGGGCTTTAAATAATATTCATTTACAGGAGACTTAACACTTGATCACTATGCCCCATCTTTCCCCTGAATTCCCGACTCCTTTCAAAACCCCATGGATTTTTCTGTACATTTCAAAATCAGCTTAACTCAACAGTGGTTTCTCTCTCTCCCCCCGCCCCCAACACACTCCATTTGCCTCCTGCCCATGAGCCTTCTATGCCCCATTGTTCCCCATCATGATGGGGATGGTACCATCCTTCACCCAGTTGCACACAACAGACCCTTAGCATTCCCCAACTTCTCTCCTTTACCTGCCCTCATTCTTTATCTCTGGTAGCAGTGAACCCATTAGCTCTATCTTCCAGATAGACTTGAAATACAGTACTAGCTTGCCAACTTCTCTTTCACCGCTGCCAGTCCTGTCCCCCCGACCCTGTCCCCCCGACCCTGGGTGATAGCAGTAGTCACAAGTGCCTGGTTTCTCCACCTACATTCTCATCCCAGGATTCTGTCCCTTACAGACCAGCTGGAGTGATTGCAACATGAAGATCAGCTCTTCTTTCTCTGATGCCTCGGTTTTTTGATAGTTACTATCATAATCTGTATCCTAGTTCAGGGTCTCACTGTGGTTTGTAAGACCCAGTGTGCATCCCTTCGGCCTGCAGTCACAAGCTAATTGTCGAACACTTTCCCCCTTCTTTGCTCTGGGGTCTAGCCACCTTGTCCTTCACGCTTGCCCAAAAAAATCCCACCTCTTTGCACTTGCTTATATTGTTTCTTCTGACCAGAGTGCTTCCCCCCAGATGTCCTTATCATGTGCTTTCTTACTCGTTGATGCTTTTTCACAAGTCTCTCAACTGCAGAGTTTTCCCTGACCATCTAGAAACAGGAGCCTCCCACTCATTGTTTGCCCCCCTTCTCCTGCTTTCCTTTATTCCTTGCAAAGACTTTTTCCCAAGGCTAAGTTTAAAATTACATATTTGTTTATTTTTCTCTTTATTGTTGCCTCCACTAGACTGGAAGGTCCAAGAAGCAGGGCATCTTTTTACTGCTAATGTCTAGTGCCATATAGGATAATACCTGATAATGATTTATTTGTTAAAATAAGCCTTGGAAACAAAAAATTATTGGAAACAACCTCAATGTTCATAACTAAGGAGTTGGCTAAGTTAAATATCCTGCATCTATATAATTTAAAACTGTTTGACTTT